CCAGCCCGATGCATAGTGAACGACGTCAGCAGTGTGGATGAGCTTTCATTATTTCACACGTTGAGCTTTTGCTTAACCCTGTATTGCGCAAGCAGTACTGGTTTTATTTGTTTGGTTTATAAGGATGAAGAAGTATAAAACACCGCAGTGGGCCACCTTTTTTCGCCAGAAGCACTGAGCGTGATCTGTTGGCCCCGCTCGGCGATTATTGTGTTGGTTGTCGCAACCCGCTTACAGTCTAGATGGACCTTCTGTGCAAGTTCTGTCTTCGCCAATGAACCCCGTCTCAGAGTGGTGGAGGTTCAGGTTAACTGAACCTAAAACTCCGCAATAGAAAACAACCCGCTCTCCCAGAGAGGGCCGACGAAAACGCCCATCAAGGTATGACCCAGCCTCTGATGGTCACCGTGCCCACTGTCCTACGCGTGAGTGATCCACCTTTTTAAATGTGAATATATTTCTTAGTCAGGGCATGTCAGGCATCTGTCGGTGTTCGTGCACCGGCAGGTGTTATCCCTCCGCTCTCTCTCTCTGTCCCATAGCAACTGTTGCTGGCGCGCGCGCTTATCCTCGCTCCTAGCAATCGGAGCAAGTGCTGCGGGCGGAGTAGTGGGGAGTGAGTGGAGAGGAGCAGCGCGCTCTGGCTTGTGAGGGCACTCGCAACGTGGGAGCTTGGCAGGACTCATGCGTGTGTACTGCACCTACGAGAGCAAGGCACTGCGCCGTGCTCCCGAACGGGTTGCAGAAATTAGGTGCCTTTTCTCATCTTCTAACCACTACCACCACCACCTACGAGAGCACTGCACCTACGAGCACTGCACCTACGAGAGGGTAGGTGCAGTGCTTCCCCACTCTTTTGCTCACTTTTCGCTCTCTCGTGCCCCACTCTCCCGTCCGCTTGCTCGTACGCATATATATATATATATATATATATATATATATATATATATATATATATATATATATATATATATATATATATAAGGGAAGGAAGTGTATACCTAAGGGCTCGTTTTTCCGTGTTTTAACACAATATTAATGAGATCTAACAGACAGTAATGCCAAGGAATGTACAGGGGAAGTTATTAGAACCAATGGAATGTAAATAAGAAGAAAGAAAAGTGGATGAAAAAATAACCAGCCGTGAGCAGGAATCGAACCTACGACCTTCGAATAACGCGTTCGATGCTCTAACCACTGAGCTACCACAGCGGCCTTCCCTCCATCCACTTTTTTGGGTTTATATGTGAATTTAGAAGTAGGAGTGACAGTCAGCGCCATCTGTAAGCCAAGCGACGAGTGTTAAAACACTCTTTTATGCGCATGTTTGGCGTCACGTAGCACGTGAACTTATTATGAGCGGGCAGCTGATTAATAGTCCCTCGTATACAACCTAATGACCCCAAGTCTGCCAGTACGAGACCCTCGTTTAATGAAATAAGGGAAAGAAGTGTAAACCTAAGTGCTCGTTTTTCCGTGTTTTAACACAATATTAATGAGATCTAACAGACAGTAATGCCAAGTAATGTACAGGGGAAGTTATTAGGACCAATGGAATGTAAATAAGAAGAAAGAAAAGTGGATGAAAAAATTACCAGCCGTGAGCAGGAATCGAACCTACGACCTTCGAATAACGCGTTCGATGCTCTAACCACTGAGCTACCACAGCGGCCTTCCCTCCATCCACTTTTTTGGGTTTATATGTGAATTTAGAAGTAGGAGTGACAGCGCCATCTGTAAGCCAAGCGACGAGTGTTAAAACACTCTTTTATGCGCATGTTTGGCGTCACGTAGCACGTGAACTTATTATGAGCGGGCAGCTGATTAATAGTCCCTCGTATACAACCTAATGACACCAAGTCTGCCAGTACGAGACCCTCGTTTAATGAAATTAGGGAAAGAAGTGTATACCTAAGGGCTCGTTTTTCCGTGTTTTAACACAATATTAATGAGATCTAACAGACAGTAATGCCAAGTAATGTACAGGGGAAGTTATTAGAACCAATGGAATGTAAATAAGAAGAAAGAAAAGTGGATGAAAAAATAACCAGCCGTGAGCAGGAATAGAACCTACGACCTTCGAATAACGCGTTCGATGCTCTAACCACTGAGCTACCACAGCGGCCTTCCCTCCATCCACTTTTTTGGGTTTATATGTGAATTTAGAAGTAGGAGTGACAGTCAGCGCCATCTATAAGCCATGCGACGAGTGTGAAAACACTCTTTTATGCGCATGTTTGGCGTCACGTAGCACGTGAACTTATTATGAGCGGGCAGCTGATTAATAGTCCCTCGTATACAACCTAATGACACCAAGTCTGCCAGTACGAGACCCTCGTTTAATGAAATAAGGGAAAGAAGTGTATACGTAAGGGCTCGTTTTTCCATGTTTTAACACAATAATAATGAGATCTAACAGACAGTAATGCCAAGGAATGTACAGGGGAAGTTATTAGAACCAATGGAATGTAAATAAGAAGAAAGAAAAGTGGATGAAAGAATAACCAGCCTTGAGCAGGAATCGAATATATATATATATATATATATATATATATATATATATATATATATATATATATATATATATATATATATATATATATATATATATGAAAGTAGATGCGCTTTCACATAACAACATAACAACAGTCGTTATGTGAAAGCGCATCTACTTTCATATTTATAACCTTGCGGCAACCGAAGTTATTCTTCTGCATATATATATATAACGGAATGAAGCACGCATGCCACACTCTCAACCGTTAACCGTTCGCAGGCTGTAGACTGTGTAAATAAGTGATTACGGTGCAAATCTTCGTCTCGTCATTATTTACTTCATTAAAATTACTGCGTCGTGTACTCTCGGTTCCAGAAATGCATTCGCATTTCCTCGCGATTCCATTCGGGGAGGTGGGAGCAATTTTTTTTCGACGGCACCTATGAACAAGACGTTCAAGATTGGCTGTCGGCATTTGACAAGGTGGGCGCGAACAACAAGTGGGGCGACCCTTTGAAACCACAGTATGTCACCTTCTACCTGAAAGACGTCGCGTGCTTCCGGTTTAACAATCATATCTCTCCTAATTCGCCACTTGGAGGGCTTTATGCAACGCATTGCCGATGTGTTCGGTAGCTCGGATGCACGCAAGCTCTGTGCCGATCGGTGCCTATGGGGACGTGCACAGCTTTAGGGAGAAGGCATCACATGGTACATCGAGGACGTGCTCGACTTGTGCACGGGCCTTGGCCCTTGGATGTCAGAAGCGGACAAGATCAAACACATTTTGAAGGGTATAGAAGTCGTTCAGGTAACACGTTCTTGTTACCTGGACGACGTTGTCGTGTTCTCTCTAAATTTTCCTACGTACGTCGACCGCTTGCGCACGATTCTTCAGTGCCACACCGAGGCAAACCTTCAACCTAATCTGAAGAAGTGCCGCTTCGGAGTGCGTCAACTCGGTATACTTGGCCACGGTGTCTCAAAGATGGAATACTTCGAGACCCGGACAAACTTCACGTGATCACCGAGTTTCCAAAGCCGACAACACTCGGAGAACTGCGGAGCTTCATTGGCGGCTTGTGCTCTTATTTTTGTCGTTTCGTGATTAATTTTACATGACTAATAGCACCGCTCACCAAACTACTTGCTCAGCCTGCCAAACTTTCTATTCGGACCTAAGCATGTGATGATGTCTTCGACACGTTGCGCTGCCTCCTTACATCATCACCCATTCTGCGTCATTACGAACCAACTGCCCCAACCGAAATGCACACTGGCGCTAGCCGCGTCGGTCTTGGCGCAGTACTCACGCAACGTAAACCAGGTGTTCTAAAATATGCCGTCGCATATGCTAGCCGCGCACTCACGAAAGCGAAAACCAACTACTCAGTTACCGAGAAAGAGTGCCTCCTTTGTTTGTTTTCTTGCTTGTTTGTTTGTTTGTCGTTAGCGTGACTCATCATCGGGCTGTTACGGTGCGAGAAACACAATCTTCACGATTCACCGATCAGAGTGACAAGAATGTGGATACATCTCGCCACATCAGATCTCTCTTTAGAGGGACGTTACGGTCGATAAATAATTAAAGCACACGCGGGGGAATGGAGACGCATTAAGTTCTTAATGAACATGGACAGGAGATAATAACGAGGTTACCGCAGCGCCACGAGTATACCGTCGTCCTGGTTCGCTGTCCACACTCATTAGGCAAATCATAAATGTCATTGTGCTTATCCAAAATGTTGAAATATGTGAGTCGGCATATAGGCCACTGACAGCGTCTTTGGTGCCACTTTCGTTCGTGCGAAAGCGACATATGCTTCGTGCAGGCATCAGACGTTTATTGCAAAGTAACAATACGTGAAGTAATGACTTGTAAATTTAAACTTATTTATTCAGAAAGTTATTACATTAGGTGCCTCACGAAAAGCAATAAGCAACCGTCAGCGCCAACACAAGGGATGAAGAATGGCGTCACAATGAGGTGACGTCACCTTATGTAGTCCATATAGTAAAACAATTACGTAATTATGACGTACTCGTGATGAAACTGGGACGTAGTCGCATGGTACCGTCGCTTAGTCGTGAACGGGCTGAAACTGGAGTTGCTTGCCGTGCATACTTTGCGGAGGCCGTGCAAAACTAAGTTACGTGCAAGAAACTTCAGTGGCATGGTACTTAGAGCGAAAAAAATAGAAAAAAAAATCAAGGTTATTGCTAGCACCTTTACGTCCTCTTTGAGAAATACCTAAGGGATCCTTTTGAGTTTTTCAACTGAAGTTAACTAATCGCAACCATGAATTTGTTACATCAAATTCCAGCATGTAACATCCCAGTTTCGTCTTAATGGCAGCATATAATCAAGAACAATAGTAATTTATATAATTACTGCTCGAGGACGCTCAACTGTGTACAGTTTTGTGCTACTGTTTTTTACTTTCCCTGCGCTCCGAATAGCGATTCGCGAGGACCACTTGTTGAGCCACAGTATGGTGTGCAGCTGCCAGGACATGCGTGAGCCACCTGGAACAGGAGACGGTCACGGATAGCACGGGAGTGCGCAATGGCACGTGGAAGCGCTTCTACTACCACTGCCCCGGCATCTACTTCCCGGAGGACTACACCGAGTGCTGCAGTCCGGAGGCCTCCAAGTGCTGCCCGCCGGACAAGTGGTTCTATGAGATCGACAACACGTGAGTGGAGCGGAGATATGCCCTGTTTGGTTCTCTGATGTTGCGCTTTGTTCAAGCTGGCTTGACGTAAAGAGGCTAATGTTTAGATCCCTTCGGCTACGCTGTTTCTGTAAGTACTGAAGCGCAAGAAAAAAAAAAGGGACTACCCAACGTAAAAATTTAACAGGTCAATCCATTCTTTATGTAGTATTGAAAAAATGTCTTTTCAAATCACCAGGGACTAATGAGTCCACAAAAAAAAGAAATACGAGAATTTATGTCAGGCAGTCATAACATGTCTTTTAATCACAATTATATTCTGTAACTTGTGTATCTTTCTCTAAGCCACGTGTCGAAACTGCGAAATACACGTGCGCAGTTCTTTGAGCGATGCGCAAATTTATTTCCACATAATCATCTTAACCCTTTTGTACGTACAGCTTCCCAGAGGTTACCTTTCTAAAAAACTACAGGCTAATTGTAGTGTATTCCATCTTGTATGATTCTTATTGATTGATATGCGGGGTTTAACGTCCCAAAACCACTATATGATTATGAGAGACGCCGTAGTGGAGGGCTCCGGAAATTTAGACCACCTGGGGTTTTTTAACGTGCACCCAAATCTGAGCACACGGGCCTACAACATTTCCGCCTCCATTTGTATGATTCTTAGTATAGCCTGCCGAGAGCATCAAGGTTCTGCATTGATTCATTATAGTCAACGGCCTTTTTGTTCTATATGTAATGTATGTGTCCCCTACAACACACCAGCACGTGCGGGGCAGTAATACAGGGTTTCTGAAACAGCGTTAGCGATTTGTATTTGAGCGTCCACATACGGTGACAAATCACAAGCTCGAATTATCGAAGAGAATTGCACATACAAAACAGAAAATAATAAAAACGTGAAGTAACAGTCTGCGAAGCAATGTCATTGGGAAAAATATTCAAGCTAGGGGAACTAATTCAACTGCAGTGACTACTCACATTAATAGCTCAAGAAGGCAGAAAAAAAAGGTAAATATTCATTTTTATTTTCGAACATAGTAAAGTGAAGCGTGACGCTTCAAACGTATAGTGGTATCAAGCTAGCCAATTAATAGCCTTAAAATCAACTTAAAACATTGGCATTGCTTCAGCCTTTAATAAAAACATCTTGCCTTTACGTATATACTGCATTCACACTTTATGAAACCTAATTCAGTTGTATAGCCACTGTACAAAAAAAAAACATGATTGATTCCTCCGTCAAAGGAATCGGTATGACACGAAAGTAAAACATTTCTTTGAAGAATAAGTTTGATGTTTACTGCATATTGATATATAAGAGAGCTTATACAATGGCTGTTGGAATTTGACAGCAAAGCTTTAATTAACGTATTTTCATCCCCATTGACGGTTACGAATACATCTCCATCTCGACGACTAACGTCTATGATTCATAATTGATTAGTGATTAAACGTGTCATTGTGGTCACAAATGGCTGTGATAGCTGTCGTAGTTAATGATAAGAGTGGAACCAAAGAAAGTGGTGGCACAGCTATAAGACCATTACTGTATGCCACACTTGGGCTAGGGATGCCTACTCGCGACATCTTAGAGTTATCGAATGCCATTACCCTTTTAGAGTGAAACTTAATGCGCGTTGTGTCTTCCCTGTTGGCCGGCCCCAATTTTTCGCGGGACAAGAGTAAGTGGGGAACGTGGAGTTACATCCAGGTGAAGCAGGCCCGTTGCAGAGCTATTTTTGGTATGGATGGATGCTATGGGCCACGCCGACGCTATGGGTAAGGTACTCTGCACCGTCGTACTCTGTAACCTGTCGATGTGTCAAGGTGTCGACAAAATTGCACTCTCCCATTGGAAATGCGCCGAATAAGACGGACACGTAGAAACTACGTATTGAAGGAACTAATCGTGCATGTCATGGTCATGAGACGTTACTACACCTTACCAAGAACACCGTGAGAAGACAGTCTTACATATAAAAGTGTTACACGTTTTAAACCCCACAAAGCCTGTGACCATGGTGCAGTGGATAGCGTGTCCTGCATCTGGTACCGCCGACCGAAGGGTCACAAATTCGACTGCCGTTGACGGCGCTTTTTATCTTTTGATCAACGGTACTTTTCTACGTCATTTCCGTGACAGAAATACGTCACTGAAGTCTTAAAAGACCCCGTCATAAAACACTTTCATGTTAAACATTGCTACTCGCACACACTAGTTCAATATTTGGGCAACTGCCCATCTCGAAACTGGGTCGGTTTTTATGTGTTGTCCACACAACCAGTGAGAACGTTTTCAGAGTTGATGGGACAATTCGCATACTGACATCCCAATCCAAACATGAATGCAACAACCTGACTTCATCTGTGCGTTATTTTTCTCGTTTCAGCTTGGCGACAGCCATCGCAGTGTCGGTGACGTTGACCTGCTTCGCGCTCACGATACTAGTGATCGTCTGCTGCTTTTGGTCACGGTGCCCGCTGTACAATGCCTGCAGATCGCGCTACAACCACGACATTCCAAATCGTAAGTGCTACATGCAACTAATCTGTTACATTGCATTGTTTCTTGCACGGCCGATAACGTGAGCTTTGGATTACCATATTTTGCGTTGAATACAAGACATTCAATGCCCATGTGAGACAATTTCTCGTGATGGCCTTGCGGCTATTGGGTTGCGTTACACTGCGTCGCTAATTACCAGGGTGTGTGTTTGATTCTTTTCCGTGGCAGCAACATTCTAACGGAGGTGCAATGTGACAATATCTTCTTATCTAGATCAAAATTCTTGCCAAAAAGCCACAAGTGGTCGAAATGAATTTGCAGCGTCGCAATACGGCGCGTCTGTAAATCATAACGAGTGCAGCTGTCAATCAAAAGCACACAATTGAAATGACCTATGCTGTCACGCATAAGTGCTTGCGTGAGAATCGGCACATAATGTCAGAGTAGATTTCCAATGGTATGGCTGCACAACCTGGCAGTAGTTCGCTTGATAAAGCTTGCTTTCAAACACGCCTTTCCCATGTTACCATGAAAGTATGGCTATGCATACGTGCTCTGTAACCCGGCGTGATGAGAAATGTTTTCATCCACTGGTACAACTTCAAACTTTCAAGTGATACTCAAAATTCATGTACTAGAATCCCCGCTGTCGTTATACTATCAATTATTGGCACTAAGTTGCTAGTGCCTAAAGTCTTACTCACGACATGCGACGTACTTATCGTCTAAACGTTTGCACCCAATCGCAGACAAAACAGAGGAGCTCGTGATGGAGACGGTGCCGGTAGATTCTCCGGCGAACAAGAAGAAATACGCGCCACTGGCGTCGATGAACGGGAGCCCCATCTTGGATTCGCATTCCAAAGGTGGGTCATCCTGTCATGTAGTCACAAGAATAGGTAATATACATCAACTCCCTCCCTCACACTCTTCCGTTCTTTTTTTTTTCTTTTGCAGGTGCCACTGCAGTATAATTATTGCCAGAAGCAATCGTTCAAGCGTAATTTATGTGCGTACATGTGAGTATCGCCTGACCCAATTAACGTCCATGGATAATCGCCGGCTTCACCCCGCTCTCACTGTGGCTAAGCACACGACCCGCGTGGGTGTAATCAGTGAGCATATATGAGCAACAAATAGTCGTCACGTTTACTTATCACGTAAGAATCGCATTCTCACTTTCACAGCAATCGCCATCCAACAGTCGAATCTGGCGTAAAGTGTAATACTCATCAAAGCTACACAGGCATAATCAGCACTGAGAGTGCTGTCAAAGTTTTAGCCCAACCACAGTTGTAAGTAGAGGCACTAGCCTCAGAGGGCTTACATAATTACGCTGCATGTGCCAATTTATTGCCGCAAAACTTGAGTTCGTCTTTAAGGAATGTATACGACTGCGGAGATGTTCGAAACTGATGTATTGTTTGATATGTTCACACGAAGTAGTGTTCATTTCTGAAGCGAAGTGTGCACTTTGTAATTGAGAAACAATTTCTTGTGGCATTATACTGCATTTGTGCACTACAATTTTAATTTTATATTTCTTGCTTATTTTTGTAAATTAATGCCAAATTGATGCATACCTAAACTCATAATATCTGATATTGTAAGGTATAGGTATGCGCTTTTCTCGGATGTCGGGGATGGCGAAAGACCACTTCTCAGGATGCTACATATTAGTGTTTTGTTGCTGTCCTCGTGTTTTTCTTTATTACAACACGGTGTTTTGGATATGTTGGTGCTTTTCTACAGCACCACCTACTCCATTTCACAGATGACAGGTACGTGAAAACATAGCAATGAAAAATACACAATCGTTGTTATGGGACATATTGAGCTATGATAGACTTTATTGGGATACTTGAATGTAGAAATTTTGGCCTGCCTGCTTGTATGCTTGTCACATGATTCAGCTACTCGACCAAACTTTAAGCATTTGCTCCATACCCAACCATCTTGAACTGGTGGCTGTATTCATACTTCTCAACATAGTCAATCAAAAAGCAAATATTACGCATATTTGAGGTGCAACATCAATACGTGAGGTAGAGGTGGTGTGTTCTTTTACTTTAAAACACATAGATGCATAATTCTAAAGATCTCAGTATTTCATAAGCTGCGCTGAAAATGTGACGCCATGCCCAAAAATGACAGCCAGCGAAAGACTGTCGTCTTTCGACGACATTTGCTGTCGGAAGCGCGCCGTCACGCGTTCAATTTTTATAGAACATGGTTTTCGTGTACCCCCCAAGAATGGCTTCGCGGACATTCATTTGAGAACCACTATTTTATCAAATCATACGTCGAATGCGAAAAAGGCCAGACATTTCGAATTTAATTGCATGGTGTCTGATCGGCGATGGTTCGAAAAGTTGTGTCCCCTCTGTGTCGAGTACTTGATATTTTCGTTGGTCACATCCGTTTTGACAGTGTGGAATGACTGATAACTTTTGATGGTGCTCTTTCGTTTTGATTCCTTGCAGTTCTTTGTGAGGAGGAGTTGGCACTTAACGCGAAAACCCAGGAGGCGGTGCGGGCGTTCCTTCCTGAGAATCAATCATTGGCCTCCCACGGGGCTGTGAATAATGCCCTCGTGGATACCTCGACCACTGCCTGTTGTCCAGAAAGCTAGTTACACTCGCCATCAGGTTGTCGCGATTTATAACGGCGCAAGTTAGTATTTCTGCCACGCCATCACGTGGCCCATAGCTGTGAAAAGTGCTATTTTATAGGCTAGCTGTATTATGTTATCACAAAGTGCTTCTTGTGCTAGAAGGAACAGAACGTCCAGCGTGCTTCGAGGTCTGAAAGACGGCGTACAAAAGATGTCACGCTTAAGAAAAGAACTCTTCATTAGCAATCATTACAATATATTTAACGAGTATAGGTGCAACGCAAAAAAGTTAAAATTTAGTATATGGTTCATTACCTTGCGCCAGCGGAAGTGAAAAGTGTATATACAGATAAAGATATACTAGAGGAGAGTACAAAATATTCAGTAAGTCCAAAAGCATGCAAAATCTAAAACACGAACAGTACATGTAGTTGTTCTACGGAGTTTCGTATTTTAGGCAGTGCTTGATCTTCTGTACTGGTCCTCAATGAGATACATCGCTTTAGAATCGTCGGGAAACAGTGTAACTGCAGTTTACGAGGCAATCTTCTGCTATTTGTCTCTGCATTTCACTACGCGTGTTGTTTTCTTGGTTGTTTTTTTTTTCCTTTCTAACAGAACAGTCAAAACGACTCTTATGGTACGGTACCATAAATAGAACTGATATTTTGGTCTAGTCATAAATTTTGGCTTTTATAAATGTTGAATCGCTGATGATCTGATTTTCTTTTTTCTTAAATGTTGGCAACTTCGTACGCTGGCGCCACGTTCCTGTCTCAATGGCTTGTGTCGGCGGGTACTGAATGTGCAGTAATTGAACAGTAATTGACTGTTGGTGAAAGCAGCTTCATGGCACTGTCTCACGAACGCGTTCTATGAAAATTTTAAGAAAACTTTAAAAGTGTTTTGTATCGCCCGAAAAACATCGTTTATGAAATAGAAGAAAATGTGACGTGTGTCTGTAATGTTACAATCCTCGCTTTTGCTTGCAAAGAAAATATTCTGCCCTGCTCTGCTTCACCTACAAATGTGGTTTGCACGCCATACTCAGGTTTATTGAACGTCATCTGGTCATTACTGTGCACGTGCTATATGATCAAAGCATACAGATGTTCCTAATGTGTCAGTCATATAGGCAAGGTTCGAGTATCTAGGGAAAAGGGGGGATGCGGCGATTTGAAGACGAGTAGTAAGACAAATACCGTGCGAAAATGCATTTTTGTATTGTTCAGTAAGTGGGCAATTTTGTTGAAGATATCCGTCAGTCTGTTTGTCCAGTTGTTACTTCTAGAGACATTACCATACAACAGAGTAATATCAGAATAAGTGCTTCTGTTTTTTTTACGTCCAGTCACATTAATGCTGATGATATGCAAAGCAGTGTCTTTCTTTCTTCTTTTTTTTCGTTGCTTCGCAGCTAAATTCTGGACGACTGTACCTGAGTGAAAGGAGAAGACAATATTGTTAAATTAGACTTTCCTATAGCACCATCATTTCCCGTGTGACATTGTATCAACATACTATGACGACGTAACCATATTTGTATTTGTTTTTTTTTCGTAGAAAGATATGCAAACAAAAGGAGAGCACCTGGCCTGAGAAATCACGAAAAGACTAATCTTGAAGCTCATGGTATTCAACTTTGTTCTTCAAGGGCTCTTTTTTCGTTCGCTCCTTTAAGCATAAATATATATAACTTTCGGATCAGAAATATTGGACTCATACGGGGTATCTTGAAACAAGTTTATTCCTGTCGTCACTTTAACATGGAGCTCAGAATATATGATAGATGCTTATCATTACACTTCATTGCACAAGATATACGTATCAGTTCTCAATCACTTATAAGGCGCGAAAGTGAAACAGAACCCGATGGAAAACGAAAATGTTTTAATGGTACTATACACAAAAGAAAGAACTTAAAAGGCTCATCGCCGCATGAAGGAATTATAACTGGCCAAACTCACCCTTTTTTTAAATAAAAGATGGTTTACAATATCTGACTGCCGCTCCAACTCTATTATTGCAAAAATACGCGAGTGCATAGCTAGTTGGCATCAACGCTAGTATCTTTTGCTCCTTTCTGTCCTGTGTATTAGTTTAGTAGAACTTGTTGCTGATAAAGTTGGTGAATAGCTATTGCGAAGTTATTAGGTGCAGCTCAGCACTGCCTCATTCCCGCACGTATCCACACACTCTTCACTCTTTGTGGGGGATGCTATTGAGCACATTCGTGTGCGGGTGTGGGTGCTCGAATGAGGGATTGCAAGGCTGCACCTAATTACTTCATTATGATGCCTTATTTAGAGCATCACACGTCATCTTATCATACCATAATATCTGGTCTCGCAACTTACTCGATAAACTTCGTTAATCTTTGTTCTACAAACGAGCGATTCTGCTCGTTTGTAGAAATTCGCGCTGGGTGCGTTTAGAGAAACTACATTCCTTCTGCAAATACCTTCCAATATTTCAAGGTGTCGCAGCGTCATCTGAAGGCTTTCGCCATTTTTCGTACTCAGGTACCTGTATTCTTGGGAAAAGCTCATAGGACAATGTTTTATGTTGAAGCATAACACGTGATAGCTAGAACAAAAGTACGCTACGAAAACTTCTTGTCTACCTTAAATGCTCCCAGGTGAATATGAAATCACAGTGAACATCCTGTGTCGAGGACGCCTTGGAAACGTAGAGAGCGCGAGTCTCCATTTCTTTATCTTGCTCCCTTTCCCCAAAAATGTTGACATAGACGTGGCATTTCCATAAATGGGTGGTCCCTAACTTCATCATATTGTTAGGATTAAAACAGAGAAGAATGACTGTGCCTAATCTCCTGGGGACCAAGATGGCTCAGCATTAAATAAGGCGAATTCTTAACAAGTATCCTAATGCAGGCCTTTGAAGAACTCTGAATGTGTACCGTTAGGAAAAACAAAGGAACAAAGAACATATTTTTAAGAGTCGACTGATCCACAAATGCCTTCGATATTCGGTAAACTTTGTTAGTGAGCACCACCTCGACTTCCTTCATCTAGAATGTGTGGGCATTATTTGGAAGTCATCGATATCTATATTATCAGCAGAACAGTATGCTGTCATACAGATCAGTTGTCCCTGATAAGAATAGGTAAGCTGATATTTTTTATTTTATGTTTTAATATATTCAGTCAAGTAATTAGCACTCAAGAAATTTAGTTTAGGTGTACTTGCTTGGAAAAGTGACAAAAATTTAAGTCAATTATCGTCTTTCATTTGCAAGACGAGAAGTGCCATACAAAGAAACATTTGGTTGAAACATCCTTTAATTTAATTATTGTGCCGTCACATCAGTGTAGAATTGTTAATTACTCAAGATGCCCGATAAGAGAAGGCAGGAATGTACAATTGAGATGCGTAGAGGTTGACCGATAAATATCTGCAGTTGTTTGTTGTCGCTCCAATTATCCATTAAATGGTCCCTCCGTGAAGTGCTGACTCTAGTCCAGAAACCAGATCGGTTAGCTGCAAACAGCACTTTGCCCGTTCATGCCCAGCTAAGGGCGTATTATAAATTATGTATGGAAAGTCGGCAACCAACTTTCGCGAGTGTACAAATACTACAAGGATTGGAGATCTAATACGTAGATGTTCGTTGAAAACGCGATGTTAGGAATTGCTGTTACTCGTATACCGGACATAATATCCGCTAACCAGCATGCGCTCTCTTAGGACAACTCTCGTGAAGTTTCTCAGCGTTTGTTCGGAGTCAGCAAGTGTGGATGTTGTTTCCGCCAAGCAAAGCCTTCTTCCGCCATCGCTGACCTTATCGCTAAGCGTGACCATCTGCTCCTGTCATCAATATTAGATTCTTTTTTTCTTTTTTTCTTTCTTTCTTTCTTTCTTTCTTTCATTAAGAGTCTTAAGTGAATCACAAGACAACTAGCAAATAATATTTCTCACATCTCTTTATAAGTATACTGTCCACCTCTTTCTTTTATATATTTATTACACATTTTATCTCGCGATACTCAGTGATTGTGGATTGGTGATTAAACAAAAGAATTAATCACGTGAAAGCACACTGCTCTTCGGGAACACAAGCTAGTGGAAAAAAAGGAAGTTCTTTTCTCGAAACACGTGCTACGCAGAAATATATATCGAGGCAGATTTTCATCATATACCTGCTAGTCAAGGTTACAGTGAACTTGCTCGTAAAACGCAAACGTAACTTTTCTGTTTGGGTTTAACGCCTCACTGTTCTCTATAGTAAGCTTAGAGGCCCCGCCACGCCTGTACAAACTGACCAACCCACTTAGTTTCAGCCTTCCAAAGTATTTTTGCAAAAATAAAATAAAAAAAGAGATATATCGCGTCGATTCTGTCTTTGTCTAGTCGCACTTTGCCTTTCGCTTATGCTGTTGTGTGTTCATGTCGCTGCATTTCAAACTCACGTGGTAAACCGAGGGCAAACAATGGCTTTCTAGTTATCCAATGCTTCCTTTAATATACTGTATATATGCCTGCGAAAGCGCTCGCATTCCCAATGAAACGGGAGGCTCCTCATAGTTCAGAGTCTCCGCAAGGAGCGCTCGCAGCCGACACAACCTCCGGCAGCGCAAAGACGTAACGCCATCATAATCAATGACACATATTTCCACATATTTCCCGGGGTGGAATTCGACTATCAAATTGTTGTTACGCAAGAAACCGACTAACTATCCGCAATGCAGCACAAGAGTAAGAGAAAATGTTGAACCCAGTTCCTTAACTAGTCTCCAAGTACTGGCAAGTCATGGAAAAAATCTGCATCGTATCAGCGTTTGTTTATGGAATGTATAAGGAACGTTGGACCAAACAGATAACTAATGTGCAGGTGTTTAAGCTTTGTCGATTCTATTATGGTTTATTTGTGCGATTCACAACAGCGCCATTGGATGGGTGCTACAAATAATGTGTTCGACAGGAATTAATGCAGGTGTTGAACGTGCATTCGAAACGCGAGTGGTTCTGCATTTTCCCGGCTTACACATTGGGAAATG